TGTGAGGGATCTGGAGGGGAGGATGGAGTAATGAATAGTAATAATTATTGATTATTAAATTAATAAATAAGTATTAATACAGAAAAGTAATATTTTCTTATTTGGGATAAATTTATTTATAATATTTATAATATTGTAATATTTATAATAATTAAATAATTCATTATTCATGATATATAATAATCTATTATTTATAATAAATACTATAGAATATATTTTTATTAAATTATATATTATATATTATACATAATATATTCTATCTATATATTAAATATTAAATATCTAAATATTAAAATATACACCTAAAATATGTAAATATTAAATTATTACTATTAATTTAGAATAGCTATCTTTATTATATTTTAATTTTATTTATGATTTTAATTTATTAATATAATTGATTATTTTATTAGCGAATAAAATAAGAAATTATTTTAAATTACGATTTTATGAATACCTAAAATCCCGATATGATTTACAATCAGTAATTCCCACCCCCGAAAAAGATAAAAATATCAATATATAAAAATATATACAATATAAATATAAAAAATATAAAATATAAAATTATATAATATGAAAATAGAAAATATATACACTAAAAATAAAAATATCTCTGTATAAAAATAAAAACACCTAAAAATAAAAATATCAACACCTAAAAATTAAAATATTTATATATAATATATGTATAGATGTTATAAATTTTCTATAAATAAAATAAAAATATATTTATGTATTTCTATTTCTATGTATATTTATAGAAGTACATTATATAATAATGGATTTGTATTTAAAATACTATTTGAAAAAATATATATAATTTATAGATGATGTAAAAAAATAAATATACACCTAAAATATATAAATATTAAAATATTAATCATAATTTAGAATATATATCTTTATATTTTAATTAATTTTATTTACTGTTTTAATTTATGAATATTTATTTTTTATCTATTTTTATATATATTTATATATTTATATTTTTATATATATTTATATTTTTATATATAAATATTTATATTTAATTTAGAAATTATTTTATTAATGGGACTAAAAATAAAAATATCTCTATATAAAAATATATGTAATAGAAATATTAAAATATAAAATATAAAAATAGGAAATATAAAATATATATCATATAAAAATAGAAAATATATAGAATATAAATATTAAAATTTCTATATATAAAAATAAAAATACCTAAAAATAAAAATACCTAAAAATAAAAATATCAATATCTAAAAACAAAAATATTTTTATCTAATATATATATAAATGTTTTACATTTTCTATAAATAAAATTAAAATATATTTCTATTTATGTATTTATATTTCTATGTATATTTCTACGTTCATTGGTATGTATTATATAATAATGTATTTATATTTAAAATTTTAATAGATCAAATATATTTTCTATTATTTATTATATATTATTTATTATTTATTATATATAAAAATATAAAATATATAATAGATAATAAATAATATAATAATATAATAATATATAATAGATAATAAATAATATAATAATATAATTATATGTAATAGATAATAAATAATATAATAATATATATATATTATAGAATATATACTATACATGTAGAATATATCTTTTTAATATATTTTATGTATTTTCTATAATTATTTAATAATTTATTTATTATTTCTATTAATATCTAAAATGCAAGGTGGAATTTTTATTGCAGAAGTTTTGTCCTTCTTCACTTTCTTCCTCCTGGGTCTGGGCAATATTTTGTAATTAAACCAAAAAACCCTCATTGTGTGAGCATTTATTGAGTTAAAAATAAAAATAATTTCGGTGGAATTTCTTAATTTGAACATTTGGCCTTAAAAGGCCTTGGAGAAAAAAAGAAAAAAAATTTCCATTTTTAGCCATGAAACTCACTGTGACATTGATAAAAACGAATAAACAGTAATAAAAATATATAATCTCTGGTAAATTCCTAACCCTAACAAAATAAAAATAAAAATAAAAATAAAAATAAAAATAAAAATAAAAATTAAATAAAAATAAAAATAAAAATAAAAATAAAAATAAAAATAAAAATAAAAATAAATAAAAATAAAAATAAAAATAAAAATAAAAATTAAATTTAAAATTAAAATTAAAATTAAATTAAAAATAAAAATAAAAATAAAAATTAAAGAAAACCAATAAAATTAAACCTCAATAAAATAAAAATAAACCTCAATAAAATAAAAATAAACCACAGTAAAATAAAAATAAACCTCAATAAAATAAAAATAAAATAAACCTCAATATCCACAGGTGTTCCCTGTCCTTGGCCAAGGAATTCTGGTGTCGTGGGGGAGGTGCAGGGACAGAATTCCATGAGATTCACTGGGAAACAGGAAAAAAAAAAACCTGGAATAGCCCCTCCATGGCAAAGACCTTCCCAGGCCTGGAACTATTCTGGAATCAACTCTCAGGAATTTTTATTTATTTTACTTTTATTTTTATTTTTATTTTTATTTTTATTTTTATTTTTATTTTTATTTTTATATTTTTATTGGAATCTTGTCCTGAGGAAAACGACACCTCCCATCATCCCAGACTGCTCCAAGCTGGCCTCGGAAAATTCCAGGGATGTGGAAATCACGGTTCCTGTGCAGAACCTAAAGCTGATCCTAAAGCTGATCCTAAAGCTGATCCTAAACCTGATCCTAAA